CCAATGCTTGGCCCGATATACGATGACCAATGATTTATCAGTACTTGGCTTACTATATTCACCTATGTCGAAACGTTGTGATTTCTATCAAGTTTGAAACGTTCGCCTAATCGTTGTCCCCGCGGACTATGCTCGCCGGTGGCAGGGTTCGAGGGATTAGGGAAAGCACTCGAGACAGAATTTCGGTAACGTAAAACAAGACTATATGTGATCGAAGAAAACGTGGATACACTCTACATGTACTTAATCTAAGAACGCGGGTGGACGGAAGGACGGACGGACGCGGCGCGAAATGAACGTATGTACAGTGTGACGCGGTGGAATGGAGATATGTACAGTGTGATGAAGATGGCTATGAAACGCGGGTGACGGTTCGCGGCGCGGTGAGCGCGGAACGCGGCGGTAACGGGTGACGGTTCGCGGCGCGGGAATCGGTCGCGGGTGGCGCGGTGCCTTGACGGGAATCGGCTGGCTGCGGCGGGTGCCGAGAAAGCTCGGCGGAAGCGGAGTACCCTCCACTTCCCTGGTCCCTGTGAGCCGTCGGCCGATTTATGGTCAGGTTGCTGTACCCGGGCCCGAGAATCCTCGGTCGAGGCGGAGAGCGCTCCACCCCGTGTGTGTCCGGGTCTTAGAACATATATGATATGGAAGGGGAATGCCTATTGTTTTCGAGAGAAAAATATGTCCGGAGGAAGTGAGAAAGAAAATCGTAGTGGCCTCTCTCTTGTGAGCAACTACTCGAAAGTGCGCATGCGCGCCATTCAATAGTTAAATGTATTATACACTCACACACACACCGATGCTTGTGTGACAGCAAATGGCGCGCATGCGCACTTTCGAGTAGTTGCTCACAAGAGAGAGGCCACTACGATTTTCTTTCTCACTTCCACCGGACACATTTCAATTCCCTATTCCCCTTCCATATTGTTACGCTCCGCGCGCGTCTTCGCGCTCACCGTTCGCGGTGTCTCCGCGCTACCCGGTCGCGCACTCGGTTCTAGAGGGTGCCGGCACTCCTCCGCGCACCTACGCGTCAAAGAGTCACACCAGTTAGAAAGAACAAGAACTTTATTAGAATTACAACACGTCAGCACAGCTCGAGAGCCAAGCTTCGAATCAATCGATAATGTTTATACACAACAGTTGCTCATCGGTATCGTGGCAACCCGCCACGATACCGGGCGCCGCTTTTCATCGAGGGCCGGAATCTTCGCGAGCGTAACAATATCATATATGTTCTAAGGTCCGGGTACGGTGTGCAGGTAGTGCACGCGTGCGCAGTGCCGAGAAAACTCGGCCGTGTCGGAGTACTCTCCAACGCGGGTTTCCCACTGCTTTAGCGAGCGACAGGAGCTAGGTTCTGAGACTTGCGGATGAGCGACTGTTGCTCGGATCCTCGTCTCCAAAGGAGTGCTTTTTAGCGCTCGTTTTCCCCTTTTTATAGGGGCTAATTGATACGCTTCATTAGCCCCTCTCGGGGTTGCGCGTGCGTAGCGGCGCGCGTTGCTCGCTCGGGCCTGGTCGTCGATCTCCGGGGCCGTTCGTGGCCCCAGCTGATCGGCGCGTTCGCTCGCGGCTGTGACGCGCGTTCGGCCCCGCTCGGCGGTCTCCGGGGCCGTTCGTGGCCCCGACTGATCGGCGCGTTCGCTCGCGGCCGCGACGCGCGCTCGGGCCTGCTCGGCGGTTTCCGGGGCCGTTCGTGGCCCCGGCCGAGCGGGTCGGCACGCCGCGCCGGTGTGTCGTGCGTTTATCGGCGCTATGCGCCCGCGTCTCGCCCGACGGATGTTCGGTCGGGCGGCATCCGGCGGATGGAATGCCGGGAACGGTGCATCGGGGGGTGCATCGTTACAAGTTTAGCCAGTCAGGTTGGTACATAATACTATTGAACTTTATATTCTTCACCTGTGACTTACACATACTCTGAAAGTTAAGGTAATAACCTTCGTTATTTTTTTCGAACGCAGTAGAAAACCGAAACGCCGTTTGGATAAAGTGACGACAATGTCGCAAAATTAGTACAGACAAAAAAAAATTTCGAAAATTAAATAAGCTGGAGAAAAATGAAAAAGACAATAGTGAGTATAATATAATAGTTAATAATAAAAATAACAGCAGTAGAGAAGAAAATGATATTGACACTGATGTGCGATTACGTGAGGTTATGTTTGATAGTGAAGAAACAGTTAATACGAGTGAGAATGATTCTATACAAAGCAGTAGTATTAATGATAGTAGTACTAATGTTTCTCATAAAAATGACTCTAATAGTGCAGTATTATGCAATGAAGAAATTAATAGCGTCTCTAATATAAAAAGTAAAATTCAACAGTGGACGCTTGATAATTTGGACACATTGCAGTTGAATGTTGTAACAGATTTGCTACGAATATTGCGAGAGGAAGGACACTCGTCTTTACCAAGAACTGCTCAAAGTCTTTTAGGAACGAAACACCATAGAATTTTACAGCAAATAAAAAGCAATAAAAATACTCAAGGAGAATATATTTATATCGGCATAGAACATGGTTTGAATCACATTATTAATACACAGATATTTATAGAAAAAGAAATTTGTATATTAGTTCACATTGATGGTGTGCAAATTTACAATAATTCACAAATACAAGTTTGGCCAATTATTATGAAAATATTTCATAAAGAATACAATTGTGAACCTTTCACAATTGCTTTATATTGTGGTGATTCAAAACCTGGAAGTGCTCATGATTATCTAAATGATTTTGTAACGGAAGCGACTAAATTAATTAACCAAGGAGTAACAATCAACACAAGAACATATTCTTTTAGAATAATTGCAATTATAGCTGATTCCCCAGCAAGGTCATTTATAAAATGCATTAAACCACCTGGTGCATTCTACGCTTGTGAACGATGTTCAGTTAAAGGAATCAGCGTTGGGAAAGAATTGAAGAAAAAAAGAATATACCCTGAAACAAATTGTTTAAAACGTACAAAAGAGTCTTTCGAAGGCCGAAATCAACCACAGCACCATAAAGATAATGTTATGTCTCCATTGTTACTGTTGCCAAATTTTGATATCATTAATGATGTTCTAGATTCTATGCATCTGCTATATCTCGGAACGATGAAATATTTGTTAGAAAATTGGACTGTGAAAAAAAGTTCTGCAAGATTGAAACGAAGAGATATCAATAATTTTCGCAGAATCATATTAAATGTTACAGCCGATGTGCCTTATGAATTCCAAAGAAAAAAATTTGATGTTTATCTCGTTTCAAGATGTAAAGCCACGCAATTTAGATTTTTCCTATTATACTGTGGTACTGTCGTTTTGAAAAGTGTTTTACCCGATCATCATTACAGACATTTTTTACTGTTTTCTGCAGCATGTCGTATATTGAATAGCAGTGACTTATCGAGGACCACTTGTGATTACGCTAAATATTTGCTAACACAGTTTTTCAGATTATTACCATCATTGTATGGAGAAAGCTCTCAAGTCCTCAGTATGCATAATTTGATTCATGTAGCAAATGATGTGATAAATCATAACATTCCATTAAGTGGCATTTCAGCATTTTGGGGTGAAAGCTACATTGGTCTTTTTAAAAAATTAGTCAAATCTCCCAATAAACCATTAACTCAGATAGTTAATAGATTATCTGAATTAAATTCTGGAAATCGTTTAAAAATTAAAAAAATGTACCCTTTCGAACTGTATAATAGATGATGGCGCTGGACTATTTACTTATGATGGAAATGATTATAAAATTATATCTTCAATTAAAATGAATAACTCTACTTTGACATCAATTCATCCTAATAACGCCGTTTGATTGAAAAATTCACAAATATTTATCATTAAACAAATCATGAAGAAATGTCATAGATATGAAAATGATATTATTACAACCGAAGAAATTTTTGTCCTAGGATATGAAATGACTAATCAACATGAGGCCTTTACTTATCCACTTTCATCGATGCAAGTAGGCATTTTTCGTGAAAATGGATTTATTGCATCGCATAAATTAATATCAATAAAAATGGTTAAGTACAAATGTGTTTTATAGAAAAAGAATTACACGCAGTTACTTTGCTACATTTTTAATAAATCACAAGTGGCAAATGATATTTAAAAGTTAGATTTCTCTCATAAAGCTTCATCTATGAGGAAGCCATAACAATTGAAGCAATGTGCAAATATCTAATTTGCCTACTTTAATGATGAGGAAGAAATTTGCAAATTTCCAATTTGCACGCTTCAATGATGAGGAAGCAAGGTGCAAATTTCTAATTTGCACACTTTCAAGAAACATCGTGCAAAATTAGATATCGCTGCTAAACGTTCCTCTATGAGGAAGCAATGTGCAAATTTCTAATTTGCACACTTTCAAGAATAATTGAAAGAAATTAGACTTCGCTCCTAAACCTTCCTCTATGAAGAAGCCATGTACAAATTTCTAATTTGCACAATTTACTTTACTTTACTTTACTTTAAATTAATTTACATTTTTTCTAATTATATATTATATTCTTCTTCTGTTTTTCAATCCAAATTTCATATATACGAGTATTTCATTAAAATATGATTAATTACTTCTTCAGTCATACACTTGGAAATTTTAAAAGTTATAATTAAACAAAATTTGCGATAGTTACAACAAC